CACATTGATTGTCTGTGTCCACTGTGCCATACTCGGAGTCGTTTGCGCCAGGCGTGAGTTTCTCAATTTACTCAATCGAGCAGTTTAGTTCCGCCTGGAACTGTCCATTAATGCAATGGACATTTCTAAACTTCATACATTTTTGTACTAACTATTGACACTGTATCATATCTGAGGAATTACATATGTATACTATATATTCAAAACTTAAACTCCACTTTATAGTATCAGCAAGAAAAAATAATGTCATGAAAACCTATACTTGTCAAAATCATGTGCAAGCCCGGGCTTATTGGCTTATATGGTAGCTACGCGCCTGGCCTCTCTTTGAGCTTTCTCTAATTCCTCGGATTCAAAAGCATTGTAACCATCCCATAATTCACAGGCATATTCAAAAACTGGTAAAATGAAAGATTTATAAATTAGAGTTTTCGTAAAACATTAATCTTTTTCCGCACTATAAACTGCCTTGACATGACTCCCCCATTTTCTATTTGAATTTAAATTTACTCCTAAATGTCTATGTACGTCTGTTAAATTTAAATTTCCCCATCAAACATCAAATCCAAGTCATCGTCAATATCGTTTGGATTTGAAATAAAAACAACGTCCGTTTTTTTAGGATTAAAAGAAACCAACCAACGTTCAGCCCACTGATTGAAAGATTCTAGGTCCTTGTTGAGAACAGTCTGTATTTCATAGCATGAAAAAGCAGGATAAAGTAAGGATGTATCATCTGCAAATAACTTGGAGGCCGAATCAAGTACATCAGTAATATAATTAATATATATCAAAAAGAGAAGCGGACCGAGTATTGACCCTTGAGGTACACCTGCGTCAATATTACCTAGTTCCGAAAATGAATTTCCAACATTTACATTGAAGACTTGCATGACTGTATGTTTTTACATACATGTATAAAAACTTGTACTAGTGCGGTGAAGACAGTTAGCAGCAGGGACGCTGGTTTCAAACAGTTCAAATAAAGGATAGTACCGAAGCGTTACAAGATAGTTTAAGTCGTTAAATAACAACATAACATTTTTTTTCTTGGTGACCCGTGCCGTAAAGGTAGGCAATAATTGGTTTTTGGTCTTCCATTTCAACAGCTCAATACGAGATTGAATATGTTTAATTATGTTTATTTGCACTTTTTAATATAACGTAATCTACTATGGCAACAAAACGCAATAACAACCATCTAGAAACATGAAATAAATATGAATTTTGAGACTGTGTATATATATATACACCCTATGTATGAACAGCACATTTTCCTCAGTCGTAGGATTGTTTTGTAATAAATGATTTAATTTTAAATAGTCCAAGATAATGCACGGCTATGAGGAGGTTAGCTTGGACAATATAAAAATATCAGAGAATTCAATTACTCGTGGACATTCACTCAAACATGGAAGAAAAGTGTTCTCTGGATCAAACAGTAGTCAAAATCGCTTTTCAAATAGGGTAGTAAATAAGCGGAACTCTTTATCAGAGGCAACAGTTACAGCGAGCTCTATGAACATATTTAAGAATAACCTGAACGCTTACTGGAAAGAGAGAGAGAGACAAGGACAACAAATTCAATGTGTGAATTAAGAGTTAAAGAGATGTGACTCTACAGAGAGACTTTTTTTTAAAACATAACCATCTACCGCTCTAGCGCAGCGAAAACATTAAAATATTAATATAAAAGATTTAAATTGGGCCAATATGAGCTTTAGGCTCATTTCCCGGCCATCCGGATCAAGGTAAATCAAGGTAAATCATATATAGATACATAGTCCCACCACGGAATTAGATTATCCCACGAACTATAACAGACAAAAATCGTCTGCTATTGAAGAGTTATCTACCCTTACAACAACACTCCGCTAGGATCACTGCAATATCGGACAGGTGCTCGATAGTGACAACACAGTGTTCAAAATGCTAACGTCGGAGCAGGTTTGAATTTTCGTGGCGCGGATCAGCCGGTGAGATTTCTTCATGTAGAATGTCATCTAAAATCAGCAAACGAGTGGATTCCAAATCGCAAAAGAGATTATCTGTGACTTCAAAATGCCTTGCTATTGTGTTGTCACCGGACGAAAACGAGTCGGGAAAGACTCCACCAGAATTGTCAGGGAAAGTAATTTTGGATGACTTCAAGCTTCGGAATAAAACGTGTTATTGGAACCCGGCACTTGTTGAAAGCATTCAAAATCTGGAGTATAAGGGATATGTTGAGCCTGACACACTACTTGTTGGAGGGGAAGATATCCACCTTGAAAATCTTCGAACTGCCTGGGGTCGACGAGTTCTCAATGATCCAGCACACTTCAGAATTACACGGATAGGTAAGCTTTTGTTTCGGAAGGTTGACAATGCTGTGTGGATGGTCATCTTTTCTTTAACAATATTTGCTTTTTATAACCGGTACAAAATCAATATTCCTAAAAGTTTGAATTTCAGTATCGATATGAACAACTATTTCCTGTTTGTTGTTACAATCTGTGCCTGTCAGCGTCATCAGTATTGATGTGCAAAGACAAATGAGCATTTTCACCAAGATAGTGTGAGAGTCTTAGTAGATAATAAAATGCAAGTGGTTTAAATTTGGGTACACATTCACAACTCGGATGCATTTATTGTCTGCGTAAATTGAATGCGTTGTAAATTCGTGTCAATAAAAGGTTTGTGACATGAGTCATGTTTGATGTTGAACAGTATTTATAGCCTTGAAGGGTTTATAAACTTAATTCCTTTTTATCCGTCTTGGCATTTTACAATACTGACTCTACAAAAAAATAGGAAGGATTTAAAGTGAAAAGTATGACTTATTTATGACATGGTGACAGTGATTTTTTGCCTGGTTTTATAGCAGGCTTTTTTTACAGGCTGTTTCTCTTAGCTGTAGTGTTTAATTATATTAAAATGAAAAAAATCAGGAATTTCTTATGAATTTTAATACAAAATACTGCTATATTTTTCTAATTCATTTAAGAAAAGGATGTTGTAAAATCTAAGTTGACACATTTAGAACCAGGTTTATAATTGATGAATTGAGAATCACTGGGATTTTGAAAGTAAACTAGGAATCTGACCAACTATTGTTAAAATTTATTTGGTGAAAGATCAATCAAGAAATAACAATGCATGCCTCATTTTCATTATAAGTTTTTGTCAGATTGTTTTCATTATTCTGTATGTATTATTTGTTTGATGATTTTTCTTAACAAATTATTATTAATTTCCTTTAAGTAGTGATTGATCTGCCACCTAGACTTACACTAGGCACCTGCAATATTAATGAGGAAATCAGAACTTTGTCAGTAACACTGATTTTGAAAGTCACAGAAGTTGATGACTGCTGAAACTGCTAAAAAAAACCCACCCATAATCCATATTTACATTCAAAAGTAGAAATGTTTTATGACATATCGTAAAAAAAACCCAGCAATAATTTGATCAAAAAACAATAACTGTTAACAGAAACTGGTTACTAATATTGTGATTTTAGTTGGGAGTGTGTTACCAATAAAAAGGCAGCTTTCCACCCTTTTTTTCTTTCTTTCCCATTGTGTTTATTTTCCTGATACATATACAATATATATCATGCTTAAGTATCATGAATGCATGACATGATAATATTATTTTATAACAAAGCAAAATTGTTGTATAAACTTAGTGGAAATTCTGAATCATTCAAAATACCATATATTTTCCAAATTGATACAGTTCCTTCAAAAGAAAAAAAAATACAGGTTACTTATATGTATTTATAATAACATTACACGAAAGCAGTGCAATCACTGTTAATGATTATATATTAAACTTCCTGTTAAAATGTAAATATAATCATTTATATAAAACACCTTCTTTTGATCTTCTGATGCAAATTTTCTCCTTTCAAAAGATTAACACACTTCTCACATTTCCTGTTTTGTTTGTAATTTACCACTACCTATTTAGAGATTGATTTGATGAGAAGATGACAAGATCATCTCCTTTGAAGCTCACCTGTGGAGCTCACCTGTCATGTTTTACCTGTATGTCCCCAGGACATAACAGCTTTTACAATTATCTGCTTAATTAGCTTTTTGATCTTGACCACCACTTATCAGATGTGTGACTGTTTAACAGGTTTGGACACTTAGGGCTCTATTAGTCTTTCAACTCTAACGTGATGTTTCATATTTATATCATAAATAATGTATGAGTATAAAGGAATACCATAAATATTTAGTTTTAAAATGAAAACCTGTTTTTAACAATTAAAAATTATATTCTCTGCATATGAATAGATTGATTCCTGCTGAAACAAATGGAGCTTGCATTATCGACAAAAGAACTTTGTTTTTACGATAATTTGATTATTTTCATGACCAAAATGAGTTTACAGGTTACAAAATGTATTAAAAGTTAAATTTGATAGTGTTATACAACTACATATATCGAGCCTTTGCATAAGTTCAAAATAAAAAGCATGTCTCCAGAAAGGTACTTATAGTATCCTATGATCTTCAACTACACATGTTATTTCTATTAAAAATGTTTTCCATTTGTTCAATGTATTTTATAAGTGTGCTTGTAAGCAGATTTCAAATTCAACAAATGTTAAGACCAAAAGTTAACAGATAAAGTGATTTGACCATGGATGCTGTCAGAAGTAAATGAGAAGTGATCACAAGTGTGACCTATAAAACTGTCAATGTGATCAAGGGTAGATGCCAGAACCAGACTTTCATGTAGTGCCCCTCCCCCTCTTATTACGAGGTGAAGACCCCCTCCCCCTGTCATTATAGTGTGTATGCAGTAGCTAGTCTGAGAGGGCACACATGCCCTAATTAACTGGACAGGGTAGTTGTAATCCCACTCAGTAATTATAACAGCCCAATGATCTGTCAGCCTTATCTGGTTCAGTCATTAGGGCCTGTCACCCCAGGGCCTGGCCACTGGTCAGTGATTTGATTGACTCTGTAAAGTCACTCAAATACAGGAATTCATACTAACTGTGACTTGCATGACCTTGTACATTTTTGAAAGTTTTTGCCAAACTTGAGGAAAGGACAACAATTGTGGAAGAGTAAAAAAAGAATTTTTAATGACCCCAATTGCAATGTGTCTAAACCATTTTTTCGACATTGAAACCTCAGAAATATTGATATACTGGTAATACTAATAGTAATATAGTACACACTAGTGTACATGTACTGTAAACAGTATAGTTCACACAGATAAGTAAAAAATGTAAATGTTGTTCAGTAATTATTTATTAACATGCTGTGTTTCTCTTCAATGTAGAGCTATGCTAATAACTAGTATTGGTGACAATTTGGTGTGATATAAACATACTTTGTGATATGTCATCACCAGCAATGGTAGTGTTATTACCAGTAATGTTAGGTGTTATATCCAAAGAAATAGCGTTATGAGTCTTTATGACACACCTCACTTAAGGCTGTACATGTGCCACGCCTCCCCGAGAATGTCAACAGCACCCTGAATGCTTGTCAGGGCTATCAACACATCTCATGTTTACACTGGGCTTACAAATCCCTGTTAGATTGAGCACCAGATTTACTTTTTATGGCTGACACTCAGACATCTCCGACTTTGACAGATCTATAAAAGAATCTGTTTATTTATACAGCTATTGTTTGTTTTTATAAAACATTTCTTATGTGTGGTTAGTGTTCAATATCTATGTCAATAACTTTCTGCGTTGTGTTTGTAATGTAATAAAGGTAAGGATTGTATAACTTGTATGCAAATGTATATACTGCAATCAATTATGTTGATATTCAATGTTTGTTTCAACAAATTAAGGTAAAGTATGTACAGTAAATGTACTCTGACAGCAAACACAAAAACACCACTATTAAGATCCCCCTGATGACAATGGAGTAGAAAGTTGGAAAATACAACGGAAAATATCTTTGGGAAGGGGCCGCTCTGATTAAAGGGCCCCAAATTCACCTAAAAATAACAAGCAATGGAAATATATAATTATCATGAGTGCATGTGTACTCCTTGAATAATAAAGTATTTCAATTTGTAGTGTATGCCAAGTGAACCTTACATCAGATTTGTTACAATTGACTTTATAAATTGTATTCAGACCAACCGTTATATCAACTATATTGAAATGAGGAAACAGAAGTTAAAGACATTTATAAAACAACAACAGTGATTTGCATTGAAGGCCGTCTTGGCTGCTATGAAAGAAAAGCACATGTAGTAATGAGTTGAGTATGCCTGTATAAAAGCTGGTCGATGGAGAAATTTGTAATAAGTTAAGGGATTTGAAAGGGAAAACACGACAATGTTTGGTATTAGGTAACAGCTTGTTGTCTGACAATTTAAGGTATATATGTAGTTCAATATGAATGTTATATATACCTAGAAGATCAGCAACACCAGGAAAAATCTTTCACAAGTTCTAGTCAAAATGGGTCCAAATAAAAAAACCTACATATGTCTACAAAATGTATGTAATTTAATCTACCTTACACTATATCAGATGTGAATATACATGTAACAAATTCATTAAACATTAATAAATTTAAAATTTGACCTTGATATTCAAAACTTTCACCAAGGGTAGCCCTAAAATAAACAATATAGGTCTACATAATTTTTAAGACCCAGTTTATATTCCTGTCTGACATAAGTTCCTGCCAATATCAGAGGTTTATTTCAATTATAAATTTGTTACACTGGGGTTCCAACACTGTCACCTGCAGTCATTCTGGACCTCGGTTGTTCTAAAATACTATTTATTTGTACCTTATATTAATAACATAGTAAATGAGCCAGTTAATGTTTGCATGCACCAAGAAATGTTATGTTTATTTTCATCTCCTGACTAAATGATTAAATTTCAATTCAAAATATGAAAAAAGGTGAAAATATGGGTGGCCCTTATTGAATTCAACATAAGATATATACATGCATATAAATTATCAATTTGTTAAACAGGATTTATGTCAATCCAGTCTTTAAGTTTGTATTTGACATTTGATTTGAGATAAAATATATATTTACCTGTAAGTCGAAGCACATTCTATGTTGAGTATATATAGATCTAGGCATTGTTAGCTTCAATTCTATAAGAAGTAATTCTGTAAAGCGGAATGAAATACAAAAATTGTAATTACATGTACAATGTATATATTAACTTTTATTACAATGTTATATTGAACACATTTAAATTAAATCATTGTTAAAAGATCTTAAATACAAAGCTCAATTTTGAAACAAATTTAGTGTAATAAAACGAAGCTGTTAAAACCTTAACAAAATTGTTGTTGGGTTATAATTTACATCTTTTGTATAATGTGTTGTTTGTTTAGAG